GCTTTACATAGATTGCACCATCAATAGTCCAGACATTTCTAATTCCGAAATGCTTACGGGCATTCTTATGTATAGACTGACGAAAAATGAGAAATTCACACATTGAAATGGCAGACCCTTTAAAGTTATTTTAAATTCCAAATCGCAGACTTAGTGCTATGATCGTTAAAGTACACAAGAATTGGCCTTGGACGGGTACTGGATTGATCACCAAGTCTGTGGCATTTCTTGAGAGAGTCATCTGTAAAATGAGTTAGACCTAGAGACTTGTGCAACAGTTGTAGAATTTGCTGTTTTAGGTCAACTTCAGAAGCCTCAGCTATTCCATGAAAAAGCAGAACTTTTTGCAGAACTAACGTTGAATTCCTGAATTTTCTGTTGCAGCAGGCTGAACATGGAACTAACAAGTACTTTGAACGAATCGAACTCCTCCCGCAGCTGTAAAACTGTTGGGTTAGTTGGAGTAGTTGCAGCCTTCAGACGTTTCTCAAGCTCCGCCATCTTCCGGGTCCAGCTCCCTTCCAATCCCTTTTGGATATTCACAACTTCAGAGACATTTGCCATTGTAGTGAAGTGAATTAACCGAGGAGAGATAGAAGAATAGTAATTTTTATTTAGTGTGACAGATGTTATGGAGGGAAGATGAATATAAGATTTTTATCTAATTTAAATGCACATTCCTATAAGTGATAATAATGCTAACACTTATTTTTACAAACTGGAGTTAAAAATTAAACAGTTAAGTTAATTATACTTAATTTTAAATGTAAATAAAATACGAGAGATAATTTCAGCTGTTATCTGTTTTGCACCTACCCTAGAAAAAACAATATAAACGAGTTGAATGTAAATTCAAGAAAAACAACTTCCTTCTGCGTAAATCCCATATCTCTGGTGCCCTTTCACCTACAGGACCCAAATTCAAACTCGACCGAGCTACTACCTCAAGGTATCCACATACCAAATTTAAAGTCAATCGGTCCAGTGGAACGGAAGTTATCGTGTCGGCATACAGACTAACAGAGTGCCAGCTCAAACCATTAACTTCCTTTCAATGCTACGCAGAAGGAAGTTAATAAATGTCATTAACAAAACCGACTAAGAATGTTGTTGACTTATTAGGCTGAAAAATATGTTGGTCTGGGTGCAGGTGCTCTTTGACGTTCCAATATATTTTTTTTGGACGAATGACTCTAGAACCTTCCCGAGTGCTGGAAGTATGTAAACAGGCCTTTAATGGGACCCATCGGCAAGATCTCCCTTCTTATAGATGGGGATGATGCGCGCCTTTTTCCATACGAAGGGGAAAATGCCGTTTCGGAGAGAGTGGTTAAATATATACGTAAGAGGTTTTGACATAGTTTTTGTGCACTTTTTTAGAACAATAGAGGGCAAGTCATCCAACCCTGAATCCATGCTTCCATCCAATTCCATCAATTGTCTTTCTACTTCGTATTCGCTGACAGTGAGTGAGCTGATGGTTAGACTGTTCTCGCAACTATGGAGAGCTGTTCTATTGACATTGGATGATTTGGATGTCAAATTGGTGGCGATGTCATCGTATATTGACTGAAAGTGCTCTGAGAATAGGTCACAAATCTCTTGGCCACCTCTGGCAGTCTTGGCACCTCGAGTCATTAGAGAAAGGAGGGAATTTGTGTTTCCTTTGAGACCATTAACATAAGACCAGATGAACTTAGGGTTTGAGCGTAAATGAGAAGCTGCGTTTTTTTATAGAGCTAGAGAAACAACTTTTGATCATCGTTGTCCAAGGGATTTTCATACTGTTTATATTTTTCGTATATATACTTCGCTTTTCTTTTATTAAGGCTGTGCTGAACCACACCGATTATTTTTCTGAATGTGGCATTCGATATGGCGTTTGCTTCTTAATTATGGGCAAAACTGTGTCGTAAAACTTGTCCACTATGGAATCTATGCCATAAAGTTCAGACCACACTTCGGACCGCACTATATGCGTGAGTTCTTCATTGATGGTGTCAAAGTCACACTTGGAATAGTTAGGTAATGCTACACGTTTGAACATGCATGGTTTTATGTTGGATACACTGTGAACGAGTAGTAGTACACTTACTTGGTCGATAAAAAAAGACGTTTTGACGTTTCATTGATAATGTTGTCACATGTCGCATGTTTGTAAATAGCAAAAAATATGAAACAAAAAGTAGGTAAATTATTTGAGTTTCGAAGACGTTCACGTTGTTATAATGTAATTTTTTCTCGATGTTGCATATTAACCTTGCTCATATTGAACAATAATGTTCTTATTATCAGCAAAATACTAATATATTGCGTAACACCTCAGTGTATTCTACTACTTAGAGTATTTATAAGCAAGCTATGCTTATAAATACTCTAAGTTACTATCAACTAATATCAAATGATTCAATTTGTTTACTCACAACACCAAACCCTACAGTAGGAGCGGACGTAACAAAGGCGCGTGTATCACTTATCCCGTTACGCGCCTTTCTCCCACTCGGACGTAAGGTGCATTTTGATTTAATATACGCACCGCATTAATTATTTTTTCGACGATTTAATCGGTAGGCTATTTTAACGAAGGTCGCTTCCAAGGCGTGCAAAGTATTATGAACATTAGAGACGTTGTAACTAGGATTAAACTCGCAAGTTTGCTATCAGAGAGTGATTCTTCTGTTCTTGTACTATTATTTATTTTGTTTCTCCACCGGATATTCTAAGCTGGGGGTGCTTTTTTCATTTACTTAATATAAATTATAATAAATTTCGATTATTTTCTTACTTAAGTCTAAAAATATATGTTGTGCTTAGTTTGAACATTTATATTAAGCTCAATAAATTGCTGGTTCCAGGAAACTCCGCTCTTCCAAAAACAGTTTAGCAATATACATTTTAGACTTTAGTTGAAAAGAGATAAAAAATTATAAATAAAGTATGCAAGCAATTATTACTTATGTGTAATTTAATGGGAAAATTTGAGTGTGTAAGTGTATTTTCAAGGTGGTAGAGCTGCAGCTGTATTGCTAGAGTAGCACGAATGTGTCGGCTTGACAGAATACCAGCGTAATTCAGCAGCTTGTTGCTGCTGTGTTTCGTATGGTGAGTGTAGAGAAGCAGCGACCCATTTTACTGGAAACGAGGTATTCCATCTTAGCCCTCAGGGGTGACAACGTATCTGCATTTTGATTCGTAATCGAGGATAGATGTAAATGTCTATGGACCACAGCATCCACTTACCATCAGGTGGACTGTGTGCTCGTTTGTCACCCTTATTCTATAAAAAATGCGTGCGTGGGTGCGTGTGTGCGTCATGCGTTCGTGCGTTCGTGCTCTCTTGCGTGTGTCCGTGCGTCAACTATTAACCATCAATACATGTCAAAAGTCCATGACATGCGTTGATGTTCTATAGTTGGTCATGTAGAAAAGACAATTTCAAGGAATAAATAACAATGTTGTTATATGTAATGTAATGTTATAGTTATTTTATGATAATATAATATTTTATTACATTTATCATTATCATCATCAATCATTACAACCCTACACAAGTACACTGCTGAAGATAGGCCTCCCTCAAGCAATGCCACAAAGCACGATCCCGAGCCCAGCCACTGTGCAGAGGGTAGTCTTTGTATAAGAGGGTGTTTAATGTGTATGTCTTAGATAAATATGTTTTAATGGGTTTATACTGTGTGTATGAGTGAGTGGTTGCTATGGACAGAACATAGGTGCTTACTATAATAATAATATGTGCTGATGTAAATCTATATTTGAAACCTAATCATGTCCTCTAATTCCTCATAAGTGAGTGGCTTAAGCCAATTTGAGAGCAGATCTTTGCATTCACAAGTTGTTTTCATATAGATTTTAAATATTTTGTTAACCTGATTATTATAGTTTGCATGACAGGTTTGTGAATTGATGTCCAGGCAAAAAATGTTTTACATATTTGCATTATTCAACCCTTTTTTCGGTGAGTATAGAATGGTCAAGTGGGTGAGATTTGTGTTTTAACCGATAGCAAAAAGGAGGAGATAAACAATTCGACTGTATTTTTTTTCTTTTTTTTATGTGTTTTTTACGTTAACCGAATTTGATGATTCTTTTTTTATTTAAAAGCTGGTGCTTCTCTTGTGGTCCCATATAAATTTGATAAGGTCTGACCAGTAGTTTTTGAGTTATCCTTAATAATTTATATTGAATTATTATTGTACAAAATTTTTTATTTTACCACTTGTTTGAAAACAGTATGTAGGATATATAATTTACGAAGTGACAACTAATCTGGCAAAGTGGGCATGGGTGCGGAACCTACTTTTTTGAAGGATATGACCTTCAAAAGTGCGCCAATTTTTTCTAGTTTACGAACGAGAATAAAAACAGAGACGGTGTCGAAGGCCTTCTTCAGGTCCCAAAATATTGTTAAGCATTTGCCTCCACTGTCCAATTGATTAGCTTTTTTTTTATAGAACGGGGGTGACAAATGAGCACACAGCCCACCTAATGGTAAGTGGTTGCTGTGACCCATAGATATCTAAATCTATCCTCGATTAAGAATCAAAATGCAGATGCGTTGTAACCCCCGAGGACTAAGATAGAATGCCTCGTTTCCAGTAAAAAGGGTCTCCGGTTCTCTACACTCACCATACGAAACACAGCAGCATTGATCTGCTATTTTACGCAGGTATCCTGTGAGAGCGTGGTCCTACCCCGATCGAGCCGACCCATTCGTGCTACAACCATAATATGGATGCAGTGAGGCTCTACCACGTGTAAGAATTATGATAGTTATGAGTGATATTAGGGACAAAACTGCATCCTGGGTAGATTTTCTAATAATATATATAATCTCGTAACTCCTCGTATTTCCGCCGTAGACTGTATTTCTGTGCAGCCGAAATACTTTTAATATTAAATCGTTTACTCTGATTATATAATTCTATTTACGTTTTATTTTGTTTTTACTTAATTTATTTGTTAAATAAATAATTACTTACACGGGAATATTCAACTGTCTCCATGAAAGTTCACTGACGTCATTAGGTTTTCCTGGAATATGGCAAGTATAAGGAACTATTATTAACGCCAACATTAGATTCATATACGCCATAGTCCACAAAATCGATAACACAACATTATAAATAATATCAAACATTTTCTGAAATCTTCCATCTTGCCCTATTTCAGAAAGAGCACGATCGAAAATAGAGTCCATATTTTAAGTAATAGTAATGTAAACAGTAATAAATAAATGAAATTGTGACGATGCTAAATACGATACGACAAGAAGACATATAATAATAAGTGAAAGATAACATGTAGTATTTTGTGATCGTATAAATAAATAAAGTACGAGTAAATATCTTTCATGTTTGCGTGCATTCCTTGTTATTTCAACGTTAGTATTATTGCACATGTATATTTGCACTTTGAATTTGAAAAATTAAATAATCACTATATCAATCTATTTTGGGATGTATTTTATTGTTAGTGTAACTATAATAGATATGTATACGTATACGGGCACGTCGTGCTTTACAGCCTTACGCCCAGCTTACTCAGTGGTTAGTCAATAAATATCTGTTGCTTCAGACGGGTGTGTGTTTTATTAACAATAAATTGCCATACATTACAGTGGCGCAGTCGGTAGGATCAAAAAATGTCTATCGGGAGATATCCGAATTTAATTTATATAACGGTTCGTGGACAACTTATATTGAGCGCATACGAGTAGAACAATATTTTGTAGTTAACGACGTAAAAATGATTTACGAGTACCTACATTAATAGTATATATTATTATTATCGAAATACGAGCTCATGGTCGACCTTTGCACCCCTAAGATGCCGCATATTCAGCCTACGCCATCAATTCTTGCTGAAAGATAAAGATAAATTCAAGAAAAGAACACAAGTTACTAATGAAACAGTGGCGCAATTTGCCGCTACCTTAAAATACCTGGCACGGTCTTGCAATTTTAAAGCTAATTTGGATGAAAAATTAAGATACCAATTTGTTTGTGGGCTCAGAACCGAACCTACCCCCCCAACGGCTATTTTGTAAATTTAATTTATTTTGCTATTTTGGCATATAATAAGGCGATAACTTTGGAAGCGGCAATGAAGAACGCAGCGACAGTTGAGCAACAGTTAGAAGAAGAGGCCTCGGTACACGCGGTGCTCACGGAGCACGCATCGCGCAAGGTGCACACGACACGTGGCCCGTGGCGGCCACGGGGTCCGCCCGCCAACCAGCGAGGCTACCGTACGCGCAGCACGGGCCAACAAGCTGCAAGGGTAAAATATGCTATGTGTAATGCCGGAGAGTATTGTCGGTGCTGTGGTGGTCATGATCACGCGGCCAGGATATGTAAATTTAAATATTACGTATGTCAAGATGTCTAACGGCACTTAAAAAGAGTATGTTCAAATGTCCGGGGTGAGTGGGACAGTTATTTAGTATGAAAGCGAGTGATGGGTCGAACTCGCAATGCTGCACGGATGAAGAGGAGGATCGCTTGCAGGCTGGTTGCGATGCAAGTGACGGTTCTGCTGGGTTCAGCTTATACATAGTAAAGCAGCGCGGAAGTGAGCGCGAATTTTACTCTTACGAACACGCAATCAAACATGTTGTGTGCTTGGTCGCTGTTATATCATAGAGGCTTGTGTAGGAAAGAAATGATTAGACTGTTCATATTACTGGTTGAAGTCGATTTATTTTATCGAACCCGGGACGCGTTTTCGCCTAGTACTCTCAAGAGACTGAAATACTCTCGCCTACCGGCTGCCGTCCCGCCAGTGGCGGTCGTTATCGTATTTCACGAGAATTACATACACATTGTCACGGGTGACGCATGTGTGTGCTGTGTCAGCAGCACCTACAGTACTCCCCTTTTTTTAAATATATGAATTTAATACATCATTTATCAAAAGGTTGAAGGTTTCATCTAAATCGGTTCACCCTTACTTCTAACTAAAACTAAACAGAGTGTGTGTAGAGCCTATTAAGTCGCAAGCAAACAATGCGATAACGTGTGGTTTGCCTGCTACTTGATCACTCGACCTACTTACTTGCTATGATAATAATACGGTGAAACACAGATCTACACATAGTCACAAGTGTATTACATTAAATTGTTTTGCACCAAAGACATTTAAGTAGTAGTAGTAATAGACCGGATATAAGCAACAAAATAGTCACCTCTTACTTATGTCATTTAGTCTTAGTGACATCGTCAAAAGCTCATAACGCATTCCTTACCTAAATTAAAAAATATATTTTTAAAGAAATTATGCCCGATAGTGCATTAAGGTATTGTAAGTCCCGATATGTAGCAAAACTGAATGTGATTTCGGTTTATTATCGCAAGTATAATGTATATTTACCCCATAATTTTTAGATTTTATTATTTCTGGTAGATTGTTCTAGAACATTTATTTTATCATCATTGTAATAAGCGCCCTCTGTTATCTAGTAACACACCAAATGAGTTAGTGATTGACAACATTTATCGATTGGTGTTATCGATAAAAAATATTATACGGGATGCAGATAAAATCATCTACAATATTTAAAGAGGTGAAACAGTAAACGATACTGTATCCATACCAATAAAGAAATGGGGTGGGCCTATGTCGAGGCACACGGCCGTTTTTTTTATTTAACGTGAAACGTCTATGTCAGCCAGTACAACCAGTACAACCGGTCAACAAGATAGCCTTCTTTTTAAAATTTTTATATAATTCTACAACATACGTGGTAGAGCCATGCTGCAGCTATATTAGTAGTATATTTTTAGCACGAATGGGTCGGCTCGACCGGGGTAGGACCACGCTCTCACAGAATACCAGCGTAAAATAGCAGCTTAAAACTGCTGTGTTTCGTATGGTGAGTGTAGAGAACCGGAGACCTTTTTTACTGGAAAAGAGGCATTCCTTCTTGGTCCTCACGGGTGACAACGCATCTGCATTTTGATTCGCAAGCGAGGATAGATGTAGATGTCTATGGGCTACAGCAACCACTTATTAGGTGGACTGTGTGCCCGTTTGTCACCCTATCCTATAAAAAAACAACACTAGCAGAACTGCAGATGCGTTTCCATCCTTTTGAAAAGGGGTGAGCTCATTTTTTGAAGGTCCCTAAGTCCTATCGGTTCATTAAAATCGCCGATGGTAAACGATTCTTAAGAAAACTCCTATTAAATCGCAAATGATGAGGATGGTAACGTAAGTTTTGTCGTGATGTGTATTGGTGAAATTTGGTGGCTGGAATTAATCACAACAATTCCTCAGAGCACTCCCCGTGGTAAATACGATAGAACATACAAAGGGATGCAACATCTATACGCAGCGCTAGTGAATCGAGCCAATCAAAGACAACTCGGTCGTCGACGTCGAGCTGCTCTGTTCTCTATGCAGTCAAGTGGAAGAAGCTAGTACAGCGTTTTGAGATACTGTTTTTATCTGTTTTTTAATTAACAACTATCTTGAGATGCTGATATCGTAATGAGGGCGTATCAAATGATTACGCACTTGAGTACATCGTTAAGTAATTATTATTGATAGGGGCCTTAGTATTGGCTAATCTACATTTATGATGGAAAAATGCAGACAAAGTTATCTGAGAGTAAGACCAAAGAGTAGATTATGCTTAAGCAACCGCTTTGCTGTTAAACCTGGGGAGCTCCGGCCCAGAGATAAGAACAATATTCCATTTGAGGCTGGCTGCGCTTGTAAAGTTGGAAACAGTGTGCAAGCATGTTATACTGTCCCGCTCTACTGAGTACGCCAAGCTTTTTAGAAGCCAATTTAGCTTTCTCTTCCAAGTGACCATGCTACTGCAGGTCATTCGATATGTCGACCCCAAAGATTCCGCTTTTGGCTGAGGCAACAAAGGAAGTGCTCTAAAATTGAGGAGATACGACAGGTGTTCTTTTTAGCGGTAAACGCGCAAATTTGTGAATTTGTGAAATAATTTATCGTGTAACCACTTTTAAATTCAGTGCTTTCCTAAAATATGCTAGATTTAAAGTGTATTTTTGTAAAAGAAACGAATTTGAAAAACATGGTGGCGCTCTCTTATTAGATTTGACGTTTCGCTATGTGCCTTCGACGCTGACCAACCAATCATATACTATTATTATAGCGTCTAATTGACCTAGTGACTGCTGTTTGAATTAATTCTTAGTTATTGGAAATTAAACATTTTATTTCATAACGTTTCATTTCATTCAATACGTTATTCATGACTTAAAAATTTTATATGATTTTTTTTGGTGTGATAAGAGTCATAATATATAGATTTGTACAAAAAAGTAAAAAGTAACCTTCAACAAAATTATCGATGCTTTGATGTCGAAACGGTAACATTCCTAAAACGGGATTTTACTTTACATTTACTAGCGACACCTATTGGGGACTAGCTGAAATGTTTTCCTAATAAATTTTCAGCGTAGTTTTGCTATGTTTAGCTAGAGAGCGTCACACACGTGCGAGCTCAACATTTTCGTATGCAAATTTTCATAACGTCCTCTCTATAGTATACCTCAAAGACATTTAAGTAGTAGTAGTAATAGACCATAGACATGGCATTTGCCGTGTAGTGGCGGTTAAGAATATCTACTACCCCATATCTTCCCGTGGGTGTCGTAAAAGGCGACAAAGGGAAACAGGCAGGAGATGGGCAGCAGCATCTTCCTGATAACAGCAAAAATACAATAAAAAAACTGCGGATGCTAACCCGCTCACCAAGCGTGGCAACTATGGCAAATGGATAAAGTTACTAAGAGACGGCCCCCCAGTCCCCGGCGGCCCCGCTATTCCTGGCTACGGTGGCGACCATGGTAACGGCGGGGCAGGGGGTGCTAAGAATCTCCGGTGGAGGTTCGGTTGCCACCTACGGTGACTCGACCTGGCAACATACAACACACGCACCCTGAGGACTGACGAGAAGATTGTGGAGCTGGAAGAAAAGATAGACAAGTTACGCTGGCATATTATAGGATTATCCGAAGTCCGAAGAGAGGGGGAGGACACAGTAATCCTCGAATCCGGCAACTTGCTCTATTACCGGGAGGGTGACCATCTGTCCCAAAGAGGTGTCGGATTTATCGTCCACGAGTCTCTCGTTAACAACGTTGTAAAGATTGAGTGTGTCGACGAGGTTTGCGTACATTATACTCAGAATCACCAAACGGTATTCGCTGAAGGTCATACAGGTTTACGCACCAACCTCGGCACACACCAATGAGGAGGTGGAGGAAATATATGAGGATATCTCTAGAGCCATGCATTCCTCCAAAACCCAATATACGGTGTTGATGGGAGACTTCAATGCAAAACTAGGCACAAGAGAGAATGGTGAGCTGAAAGTAGGGAAATTTGGAATAGGGCAACGGAACCCCAGGGGCCAGCAGCTGGCCGACTTCATGGAGAAAGAGGGACTCTTTATGATGAACTCTTTTTTCCAGAAGTGGCCCCACAGGAAGTGGACGTGGTCGAGCCCCGACGGTTCGACAAAAAAAAAGATTGACTTCATTGTGACGACCAGACGACAACTGTTCAGTGATGTCTCAGTGATCGCGAGGGTGAAAACCGGCAGCGATCACCGAATGGTTAGAGGCACACTGAACCTAAACGTTAGGTTGGAGATGTCTCGTCTAATGAAGTCAACGCTCCGTCCCCCTCGTGCTCTAATCCAAAGTCCCGAAACCTTTCAGCTAGAGTTACAAAACCGTTTTCAGTGCCTAGAAGACTGCAATGAAGTGGACGATATGAATGACAAGCTCGTGGAAACTGTCCATGCGGTCGGAGCTAAGTTCTGCAAGACCCGCCGCAGAAGAACACAAAAACTCTCCGATCACACTCTCAATCTCATGGCTGTTAGACGGGAGATGAAGCTACATTCTTCAACAGATTTGACATCATACAGGCAACTGAACAGACAGATCTCCAAATGCATGCGGTGGGACTTACGCAACTTCAATACAGCTCGTATTGAAGAAGCAATCGAGCGGAACCAAGGCTCCAAAGTCTTTGCTAGAGATCTGTCTGCCAGAAAGAGCCAACTGTCAAAGCTGAAGACAGAATGTGGCAGAATCGTTTCAGGGGCACCTGAGATTTTGAGTGAGATTGAGAGGTTCTATGGGCAGCTGTACACGTCATTGTTGGAGCCACACGCGAGTGTGAGTAACGATCCAAGAGCGAGTCTTATCCGACATTATTCCGATGATATCCCGGACGTCAGTCTGAGCGAGATTAGAATGGCTCTCAAGCACCTTAAAATCGGCAAGGCACCAGGCGAGGATGGAATTACAGCGGAGCTTCTGAAAGCGGGTGGAAAACCGGTACTTGAAGTCCTTCAGAAGCTCTTTAATTCCGTCCTCCATGGTGGCATTACACCGGAGGCGTGGAGCAGAAGTGCGGTGGTCTTGTTCTTCAAGAAAAGCGACAACGCTCTCTTGAAGAACTACAGACCGATTTTCCTTCTGAGCCGCGTCTATGTGCTGTTTTCGAGAGTCATTACGAATCGTCTCGCGTGCAGACTTGATGACTTCCAGCCTCCCGAACAAGCCGGTTTCCGAAAAGGCTTTAGCACCATAGACCACATACATACCCTTCGGCAAATTGTACAAAAGTCAGAGGAGTACAATTTGCCACTATGTCTGGCGTATGTGGACTATGAGAAACCTTTGATTCCTTCGAAATTTGGGCGGTGCTGCAGTCCCTTCAGCGGTGCCAAGTGGACTGTTGGTATATCGAAGTGCTGAAGTGCTTGTACAGTAGGGCTACGATGGCTATCCAAGTACAGAACCAGAGTACGAAATCTATCTAATTGCAGAGAGGTTTAAGACAGGTTGACGTCATATCCCCGAAACTCTTCGCCGCTGCATTGGAAGACGTTTTCAAGCTTCTGGACTGGAAAGGATACGGTATTAACATCAATTGCGAGTACATCACTCATCTTCGATTTGCCAACGATATAGTCCTTATGGCAGAATCGCTGGAGGACCTAAGCACTATGCTCAATGACCTCAATAGTGCTCTTAAGATGAACATGGACAAAACAAAGATCATGTTTAATGTCCATGTCACACCTATGCCGGTAGTTGTTGGGAGCACTAAGTTCGAAGTTTTTGATGAGTATGTTTACCTGGGACAAATAGTCCGACTAAACTTCGACCGAGAGGTCAATCGACGGATTCAACTCGGTTGGGCAGCGTTCGGGAAATTACGGCACATCTTTTCGTCAGATATACCTCAAAACTTGAAAACGAGACTGTACAACCAGTGCGTGTTGCTACTGATGACATACGGAACTGAAACGTGGTCCTTGACTGCTGGCCGGATGAGGAAGCTCAAGGTCGCTCAGCGAGCTATGGAGAGGGCTATGCTCGGAGTTTCTCTGATAAACTCAGAAATTAGGATATCCGCAGTAGAACCAGAGTGACCTTTTGAAACTGGACTTTAATAATTACATTTACCTTATTTATTAGATCAGCATTCGTTGTAATTCATTGTAATTCCAGAATATAAATTGTCAGGCGCTAATAATATAAATAAATCAGAATTTAAGATATTAAGCAACATAATAATATAATGATCAGTACGTTATAAGACTAGCACCACCAGTTTTTCATTAAATGTAAGTCCTAGTCATATAAACGAGTTATATTATTTACAAAATTATTTTTCAAGATACATGAAGAAGGTGTAAATATTTACAGATTAGTAACTAATTTTACGACAACGGCAGGACCATAAATTATCAACTATATAAAAAGCTATAAAACTAAATATTATATCTGTTGCAAAGATCTCCATGTTGAAAGAAAAGTTAAGATTGTAAATCGAAATGAGGACACAAAATGCCCCTGCATCCTTTCAACGCAAATAGGACAATTAGTGCACCTCAACATCGTGGATGCAATTATCAGAATGTCCGTAGTAATTAGCAGTAAGTCAATAAGTAGACATGATCGAGTCCGTATAAGTCATCAGCAAAAGCAGGAAAAAGTGCAACGTTAAAGAAGGCGAGAATCAGCACAAGTAAACAGGTGATATAATCGTAATCAATATATTTCACAAGCACAAATTAGTCAATGTGTGAAAATATTCGACATTAATTTGACATACGATATTGACACAATGATGTGTGTGTATCATTTTACAAAATGCACGAAAATCAATGATTGTTATTCAGTAATTATCTAATGCAATTCATGATTATTATCGACTTATAATAATAATTATAAATGTTGAAAATAAAAATTGATAAGTAACATTTTTATATGACAAAGACTTACATTTTAATAGAAATATGTATTGTTTGATACTTTATGCGTAAGTATGTACCTTATTCGTACAAAGAAACGCAGATGTTATTAGAAAAGACTGGAAATGTAAATATTAATTGTTGAATTCCTTTCTTTTAAATAATATTGTACCGCAAGTTGTACAAACTAACGATTTATCACAAAAATCGTCAAAATTCATATTTTTACCTTTTTCGTACAAGGTGGGCTGTCCGGGAGCTGATTTGGCTGATATGGAATTGCAGCAATCAAACAACCTGGACAATAAAAATGTGTATTTAAATAAAAATATATCTTCTGAGAGACGTGTCGCATGCCGTACGACCGCTGTAGGCTAAGGGTATTAGTCAGGCGTAGGACAGTTGCCTTGAACCACAAAAATTTAATGGATGGTGGCGCCATCCATAACTTGTTTCCAAAAATAATTTGTTTATAGTTGGTTGTGGCTTCACAGATGTCGCTACTTTGGAAAAATAAAATGAAATTTACTTACAAAATAAAAATAAGTGCACCAAAAAATTATTGGTGATTTTATTGATAAAAAATTATAATTTTAACATAAAAACACGTAATAATTATCGAATCAATCGATAAATATGACAATTATGATACTGGCAACCAGCATTTTATAATAAAAAATAAAAATAAAAAATTAAATAATTGTCATATTAAATTGTCATTCCTGTAACATCGCAAATACCCTTTTTATATATTATTATCTCACAAATACAAGTGTACTTATTGAAACTATTTACCTACTTTTAATATTAAAAGTAGAAATTATTTTACAAAAAAAAGTAAAAATTGTTTCAGTAAGTATGCGAATTAAAGAACATAATAGTTACATTAATATGATGTACATAATATAGCTATATATAGCGAATTAGTTCGGATTCAATTTGTAGGAGACGCTAGTAGTTCAATTTTGTCTGCAATAAAATATCGTCAGAGGGCTCTCTTTTCCTGTATATACTTATTATACTCTTTGGTATTAGTGTTCTGTGGCTGTAGGTCTGTCCGTCGTTTTGTTCCCGGCGCCGCGCCGCTCGCGCCGCGCCGCCCGCGCCCCGCAGCCCGCGCCCATGACATGTTCTTTCTGAAACAACAGTTTCGTAAATTTATGACGTGCAAATAATAAAATGGGATGTTTTTTAGAATACTCACAGATAGAGTTTTGGATTCTGCCTCCAACCCTAATCAGATCCTGCTTATCTAAGTAAGGTTAAGGTTTTTAAGGTTTAGTGATAAAATTCTTGATTTATGATTTATCTTTTTATTGTTTTTTAATTATTACACCTCATCTGGAAAGGAATCGCGTTGGCAGGTTTTGATTAGGGTCTGACGATGAGTAGATAACGATGAGTAGACCTATCTATTTCATCGTTACTCAGATCACCACTAAGCCTCGAATCCTTCCTTATTTTACAATTGTGAATAAATCTTAAGATATATCCTACCACCCGGATCAGTCGTTGAAATTTCGAGAACCTATCAAAATCAAATGAAGGCTCAACAGACACACAACATGTATTTACTTTGAGCTCCGGAAGCTCAACATTTTCTATAGGAGCGCTTGGCCACTCCGCTTTAGGTTTCATTAAAAATGGTGGGCCACTCCACCATAACTCTAAATCTTGAAGCTTGCTAGGGCTGACTCCTCGAGAAACTATGTCTGCCGGGTTAATATCCGTAGAAATGTGATGCCAGGAAGATTTGTCAGTCAGTTCATGAATTTCATTTACTCGATTCTAAACAAATTGCTTTAGATTGCTAGGGTTGGTATTTTTAATCCATCGAAGCACAATTGTAGAATCACTCCAAAAATATTTTTGATCAATCTTACGACTGAGTGACTGACAAACCTTTGTACTTAACTGAGCACCAAGCAGGGCCGCTGCCAGTTCGAGCCGCGGTATGGTACTGGGATTCAAGGGGGCAACCCTAGCCTTGGCGCATAATAACTTGACTGATACGTTGTCCTTTTGATCAGTACAACGTAAAAATACACATGCTGCAAATGCACTCTGAGAGCTATCGACAAAACAGTGTAATTCCACTGACACTGTAGTGTCCAATGATGGATGCAAGACGTGGCGTGGAATATTTATAGCTTTTATTTGTTTTAAATTATTAGCAAAGTCACTCCACTCTTTCGATACATCGGCAGACACCAAATCGTCCCAGTCCATTTTAGACTCCCACAACCTTTGTAACAGCATTTTAGGAACAATCGTACAAGCGCTTAGCATCCCTAGGGGGTCAAAAATTTTGCATGTTGCTGCAAGAATCGTTCTCTTTGTGAACGGCTGCTCGATCTGAAAGTCGACTGAAAAATACAGCTTATCCTGTAAGGGACACCAATTCAACCCCAGCACAGATGATTGATTCTATAAATTAGGGTACTGATCATTTTCCTGGGATAAATCCTTTTCATTACATGTGGTTGAAATGGGGTCACTCGCAAATATATTTGGAATATTAGTTCTAAATTTTCTAAGTGGGAAGCAAGCCTCAGCAAACTTATCGACCACTGCTACACGTAAGTATTTGAGTTCCATTTTGTTATCAAACCAGTTATAAGATCGTCACATTAAAAATCGTTTTTTTATAATATTAGCTACTCGCTTGTCTGAACATTCCGTTGATAACTGAACTAAACATCTGGTGGTCAGATAAGGGGCCGATGCTGTCCCATACGTTACAGTATTGAGCTGTAATGTTCGCAAAGGCTGAGCTTCATTGTCTCGCCATAATATCAGCTGTAAGTGACGTTGTGATTCATCTAGCATGACCGGACGGAACATTTTTTTTTTATAGGATAAGGATGACAAACAAGCACACAGTCCACCTGATGGTAAGTGGTTGCTGCGGCCCATAGACATCCACATCTATCCTCCATCACAAATCAAAATGTAGATGCGTTGTCACCCGTGAGGACCAAGATGGAATGCCTCATTTCCAGTAAAAAGGGCCTCCGGCCACCTGCACTCACCAAGCGAAACGCAGAGGTAAACCTCTACTTCACGCTGGTTTTCTGTGAGGTCGTGGTACCAGCCCGGTTCGAGCCGGCCCATCCGTGCGACAGCAAAAGCTGCCGCGTGGCTCTGCCACTGTTATTTATGTTTATGTTATTTTCTCAATGTCCCCCGTTAATACATACTTATGCTGGCGGAATCGCAACAAAATTGACATCAAATCATTTTGTACTACCGGGCCCACGTACTGGATATCATTTAACGATTTACCTGATGCTGTGCGAGCAGAACCGTTAAAAACGACCCGAAGTTTTGGGGTCTCGCTTTTCTCTCGCAGCACGGCGTGATGAGGTAAATAATTTCCAGTAAGTGGCTTATCTATTTCTGTTAAATGACCTAATGTGGCATATTCATGTATAAAATCACTATACATTTCCTTCAACTTCGGCTGCCTTTGAAAACGCCTTTCCAACTTTAAAAAACATCTCTTAGCAAGTGAGTAAGAGTCTCCGAGAGCCTCAGGAGACTCGCGTAAAGGCATTTTTACTTGGAATCTACCAGACGATAAGCGAATTGTATTTTCATTAAAGCAATCTTCACAGATTTGTTCATCTGTTGACAATGATCGTTTTGGCATTATGAAATTTTCCAAGTCCAATAATTTAGAGTCTTTAATTTCCTGACTAAAATGACATACAGATTTCTTGCTAGATTTCATAGATGGCGTGGTCAGAGTCGTGGGCCCTGAAACCAACCATCCAAATTTCGAATAAATTAACGTTTATTTTCACCTAACGATATCTGGCAATCACCCTTAACAATATTCCACATCACATCGGACCCAATTAATATATCAACTTTGTTACTTTTATGGAAGTTTGGATCGGCGAGTGCAGTATTGCTGGGTATGTTTAACTTCTCGAGATCGATTTCTACACTAGGTAAGTTTTCGGAAATATTTGATATAATCATACAATGTACGTACATTTTAATGTAAAATATTCAGTGTAACCGATTTTGAAGGTCAATGGTCAAAGGTCAGCACAAGTCGGCACGCAAGAAATAGCTTCTAGATATTTCGTAATTTTTTAGAGTGTTGTTGTTTTTAGTAAGTAACTTTTTTTCCAAAATGGTTACTTGTTCTCTGTGTTACTGTGGTGTTAATAATAGAAATAATCCTGGTAATTGCACATTTTACAAGTAAATTCTCAACATCGTCAATGTTATGACGCGTTTATTTTTGGTTCAAATTTATGTTATATATTGTTTAAAATGTAGAATGTTTTCAATTATTTTGTTATTTTGCAAACAAAAATGTCACGTTGTTGATAATTTGCATGAATTTGGTAAATACATTTTTATACAAAATATTCTACATGTACGCTAGGGTTTGACTCTATTAAATCAAAATTAATGTCGATATTTATCTTGAATGACTATAATTAATCGACAGACTTGCTCACACAACAAGAAAACTAATCCTCGGTTTGCGTTCTAAAATGTAATTTTATTTTAGCCCGTTTGTCAAACAGATTCCCTCCGGATTCTATAATTAGAAAAAAAATGATTAAGGTTCATTAGACGGATTGGTTGAAATCTAAAGAAGAACTCAACAAGTTGCAGCAAACATTTTCTTAAGAAGTATAAAAGAAAAAGTAGAAGTAAGTAGTTATTTTTGGTTCAAATTTATGTTATATACTGTTTAAAATGTAGAATGTTTTCAATTATTTTGTTATTTTGCAAACAAAAATGTCACGTTGTTGATAATTTGCATGAATTTGGTAAATACATTTTTATACAAAATATTCTACATGTACGCTAGGGTTTGACTCTATTAAATCAAAATTAATGTCGATATTTATCTTGAATGACTATAATTAATCGACAGACTTGCCCACACAACAAGAAAATAAATCCTCGGTTTGCGTTCTAAAATGTAATTTTATTTTAGCCTGTTTGTCAAACAGATTCCCTTCGGATTCTATAATTATAAAAAAATGGTTAAGGTTCATTGGACGGATTGGTTGAAATCCAAAGAAGAACTCAACAATTTGCAGCAAACATTTTCTTAAGAAGTATAAAAGAAAAAGTAGACGTAAGTAGTTACTTGGTAAAGAAGTTAATACGTTAAACCATGGAAAAAAATCACTTACTTGTTTTGCTTGTTTTTGAAAAATACCTTGCTACTCTTGCTTGATATGTTTGTGCTTTGCTTGTGAAATCCTTCTACTTGGTGTGCTTGATGAATACCTGGAGTGCTTGCTTGGTGAATACTTGGAGAGTGCTTGCTTGGTGTGCTTGGTGAATGCTTGCTTGGTTTGCTTGGTGAATGATTGTACTTGCTTCAAAACTGGTGCTTTGCTTGTGAAATCTTTCTGCTTGGTGTCCTCGATGAATGCTTAGAGAGTGCTGGCTTGGTGTGCTTGGTGAAAGCTTGCTTGGTTTGCTTGGGGAATGCAAGCATTCCTTGCTTCACAATTGCTAATTGTGGTATATTCTTGGTGTGTTACAATACCAAACACAAGTGTTTGGTATTGTTACTGGTTCTCAGAAAATTCTGACTTTCAGTACACGTAAAGCGCCGTCTCAATTCGGCTGGTGAGACCCGCTGGTGGGAGGCCGACCGAACCGATCGCACTGCACTTGATATCTATAAATCACTGATCAGTTTGCTCGAAGGACCATACAGATGTTTGGTCTTGTTATCCACTCAACCGTCCACGGCGACTACAGTCCCCAAAAACCATTATTGCCTCACTTGTCTAGGCACCAAATTACATCTTTCGGTTTAAACGCGTACAGCGCAAAAGATAGCTGTTATTAATACAGTAAAAAATTATTGATGGTGCTATATGAAATTTGTCGTCTGTGAAAGTGAATTTTGTCTGTATAACAGTAACAAAATATTTAGAAAAAAAAAGTTAAAATCAAATTCCGCCATTTTTGTTTGTGGAATGTTAACGTGTGAGAAATTCGATCAAAAATGTGATAATTTTTCTGTTTTTATACGCTATTTCTAATGTTATTGTACATCAAACTAATCGTGAAGATATTTTCTTTAGTAAATGTGTATCATTACTACAATTCCAAAACGTTTACATATAATAATTTAGCTCTATATTTTAATCACTATACGCGATCATCGTTTATTGATTATATGCATAGATAAATTCTTTTTTTTTTTTGTCTTTTCATTTTTTTTAAAAAACGTTACCCCCACACTAGGATTTTCTCCTGTGTCGTGGAGGCAGTTTACAAACATAAATTGCACAAGGACAAACATCCAGACCCGGAACAATTATTTGTAGGCCATACAAATACTTGTTCCGTGCGGGATTCGAACCCGCGGCCCCCAGCGAAACAACTGATTGCTAAGCCACTGCGCCACGGAGCCGTCAAAATAATAAAAAATAATCATGCACTATTAACACGATGATAGCAATTTATAAACGAAATATCTGTGAGATGTGTCTAGAAATTATTAAAACCTATTTTTTTCATCTATTTACTTGTTTATTCAAATTTATATTGGGTAAACATTAGATATTTATGTATATTGAGTATATAAGATGTTATTGATATTGGTGTCATTTTAAAGGGAATATCATATATACTATCTATCCAAATAAATAAAATTGAAGTGTCTGTTTGTAATGTCAAAATTACAGTTTTTTACTAAATGCATATGAAAGTAAATACGGTACTTTATAACTAAAATACAATTTTTAATAGTTTTTGTCTGTCTGTCTATTTGTTCCCGCTAATCTCCGAAACGGCTGGACCAATTTTGACGGGATTTTCACTGGCAGATAGCTGATTTCATAAGGAGTAACTTACTTTTATTTTAGAAAAAGAATTAGGGTTCCGCGCAAAAACATAAAAACCCTAACACGCGAGCAAAGTCGCGGGGAACAGCTAGTTATAATATAAAATAATTGTCTCCAGTAAGTATAACACTTTTCTTTTAAAACTCTAAATAAAAAATAAATACAATTTTTTTTTGATATTCCCATTTTTAATCTTTATTTTCAGGCTTTATTTTTAATTTGACGAATTTTGTTTTAACAAAATAAAATTTTGAATTCTTTGCGTCTTTTGAGAATATTTTTTATTTGAATGTAGCTATAGTAGTTTTTCAGATCGTAATCGTTTCGTAATCGTAATCGTTTTTGTTAAGAGCGGCCAACCCATGTAACTTTTCATACAAACGCTTGTATGTGATTATGGCGTTGTAATAGATCTTTATTTGAAAATTTTGAACTAATAGGTATCTTGTGCACTATATCTAGGTTTCTATCTAAACAAAAAATCTAAATTAGGAGATACAAATTCAGTATAAGCCTACAAAAATCTGCTTTTTTGCACAAATTTTACCTGAACTTTGGTCGTTCATAATGTACTCATTAATTGTAAAAGTAAAGAAAATATTTTATAGAAACCTCGCGAATGTAATGGAGATTGATTAAATGACAAAAATTTATTTCACAAGGTTGTGGCTTACTGAAAAACACGTGTTTCTTGGAACAAGTTTTATGAATTTTCTGCACACTATTTTTCTTTCAATATTATCGCGTTCTCACTTGCATATTAGCCAAGTGGCGGTAAGAGGTATGCGGGGGACAACTCTTGCGGGGTATGGGACGGGGTGATACGGGGGAGTTGAATGACGAGCGCCGCTGGTGCACGCATTCGGCTAGGACAGTTACTATACTCTTTGCATTCGGCTCTCAGGTCTCTCGGAATTGTTACTTGTTAGTAGGTATTCAATTTGTTGACTGCGCTACGTCAATGTGCCGTTGCATTTTATTTTTAGTGACATCTGTTTTACCTACTAGAACGATTTTATTTTTTATACCGGACACTGATTTTGCTAGCGAAAGGTTTAGCTATTTTATAATGTGACACGAACCTGGCATTTGTGAATACGGACACCGACTTTGTTTGGATAAGGATTTTGAAGGAGATCGATTTTATTACTATTGAGAAGAACTAAAAAGTTGTTTTGTAAAAAGGGTAAGTAGATTTTTTTACATAATTACACAAGAGCTAAAGTAGGTAGCTAAATGTACTGTGAAAAATATCCAACCAATTTTTATTGATCACATTATGTTGATAGTATGTACTTTTTTTTATAGGAGTTTATGGCCTGGTATCTAGACCTTTAGGCCAAGTCTTGAGTATTTTTATTCGGTTTATTATAAATAATTATCCTTCATAGTTCACTGCTTCACAATATGTTGATGCGTCACATTGTGCAGCCCTTGGGAGATTTTGACGGCAACTTGAGCCAGCAGACAGCTGATAGTTGGCGATGGTATCTCAAGGCGCCTATGCAAACAAACAGCTTATCTTGAGAATCCATCACCATCAGAGCACTGTTTCCACTAATAGTTCACATGCGTAGACAATTAATACACAAAATCGCACCACTTTTACATATCAAAGTCCACTTCAAACCATTATTTAAACAATAATACAGGAGCAGCAAACCGCCGCTGATCAAGTTCCCGCCAAAACTCCTCGATAGTATGTACTACTACAACCAGGGTTGCCATCTCCTAAAATGAAAAAGCCGGACTCGGCGCTTCAAAAAGCCGGACTTTTGCCCTAAAAGCCGGACAGTAATTTTAGAAAGCCAAACATACCTTTCTGTTGCCATGCAGCCAAAAAACTCACCAACTCCAACTCAACAATAACCAAGCGATGCGTGCAACGCGTTACACTAACAAAAAGCCTAATAAAATCCAGACAAGCCGGAGACATAAAAATTTGGCCGGACACAACCCCAAAAAGCCAAACATGTCCGGCTAAAGCCGGACAGATGGCAACCCTAACTACAACTAACTTTTATACGTGAAAGAGCAATGCTGCATCTATATTAGTGGTATAGTTGTAGCACAAATGGGTCGGCTCGACCGGGGAAGGACCACGCTCTTACAGAATACCAGCGTAAAATAGTAGCTGAACGCAGCTGTGTTTCGTATGTTGGGTGTAGAGAACCGGATACCCTTTTTACTGGAAACGAAGCATTCCATCTTAGTCCTTACGGGTGACAACGCATCTGCATTTTGGTCCATAATCGAGGATAGATGTAGATGTTTATGGGCCACAGTAACCACTTACCATCAGGTGGACGGTGTGCTCGTTTGCACACCAATGTCGGACAGACACATTTTTTCAAACAACAACATAAATCGATGTTATACCTACTGAACTTTACAGATAACACTCAGCCAGATTCCCGAAAAGGTATTAAGAAGCGTTTACGTCTTTCGGTTCGAAGGAAAAAAAGGAAGGGAAAGGGACCCACAAAACGAAAAGAAAATCAAGCGTAAGAATTTATTTACTCTAACAAGGGGGCATTCCCTACTCATCATCATCGATTTCGCTCAAATTTATAGGATATGCAGGATTTGACTAGAAATGAAAGTACCCAAAGTGGAAACTCCAGATGGCCAAGCGTATAGAAAATAAAAAAAAATTCGCACCGTATAACCCATTTGCGTTAGTGCGCATGCCGACCACGAGTTGGTGTCGGTAAGAACTCGGACTAGAAATTTAATGGTCGTGGGTTCGACTCCCCGTGTGTAGATTTTTTTTTTCTCTTTTTTTCTTTATTTTTGTATTATACATTTTCCAAGCGAATAATTGAATAATTTATTTTATTTATTATTTATACGCAAAAGGACAAGCATATAGAACGCCATTTATTATTTCCTAAACGATTGATCATCTGGAGTTTCCACTTTGGGTAATTTCATTTCTAGCCAAGCCCTGCATATCCTATAAATTTGAGCGAAATAGGTGATGACGAGTAGCGAATGTCCCCTGTAAATACTTTTCTTACACAGAAACTTTACTTACATAGAAAACGGCCAAAATGAAAAAAGGGGTCATTGTACTCATATTTATGAGCTTTTTAACTTTTACTATGAATTAGTATTAGATCAAACATGAAATCGCGAAAAAAAAACTTAGTATTGAGTACATTTTATCGAGTTCTGTGAACATACCTACGTTATAAACATATGTTAGAACAACTGATTTTTTTTTTGCGATATCAAGGTTGGTCCCATAGTAAAAGATGTTCATATATATATTCGTAAAATGAGGCTTTTTCGTATTTAGGGTAAATAAATATATTAGGTAAATATCCTACTAAAGTTGTAAAACTACGAGAAAAAATATTGAAAATTTTCGTACCAATTTCAAATTGAGCACTACACAACAACAAACGAAATATTCCCGTATTAAAAACAATACGACAACAATTTCATTTATAAATTACCACTAACGCTAGATTTAGATATAACTCTTATTCAATTATTACTTAGGCAATGAACATAGGAATAAAGATTTATTTTATTTTCCAGGTTTATAGATGAAAACAAAGAAAACATTGACAACTGATGTATCACGGCTTAGGTACGGCGGAATGCAAAGTGGAATATATGTACCTTAGTTTATGATTATTGTAGCGGACAACCCACCACCTCCCATGGCCCCACCGACCCTCAGGTCATACGGGCCGAATCTCGGGAGATGCGCGCGGTACTTGCACGTGGCTCTTTCCCGCGCGCACTTTCTTGACTCCCTACAAATATTTAATCTGTTCCTTGTCCCTGTATTTACGTCATTCTCCCCCTTCTGGGGCTGACGGCACACTGACGCCTACGTCGTCAGTCCTGTCTGCCAACATTCTGTCATTACTTCTCCTGCGGTCATGCCATCTGTGCGCAAACTCGCGCAACAGCCCGTAGTTCACCTCACCGCTGACGAGATCCGAGTAATAGACCGGTCCCTGAACCGACTAAACTAGTCCATCCATCATTTTCGTTCTTAGGTCGTCATACAGAGGACATTCCCATAGAACATGGTGAACGTCCTCCTCTATCGCACCACACTCACACATACTTGTTTCACACAGTCGGATTTCACTCAGTCTCTTCCAAAAGCATCCATGTCCGGTGAGAATCTGAGAGGTTTGATAGTCCGGTGAGACCCAGGTATACCTGAGTCTCAACGCCACCTCCGGGAAAAATCGATTGAGCTCGCGTCCTTTTGAGTCATTCATCCATCGATCCTGCCATACACCGATCACCTCAGTCCAAATTTCGCGTTTCCGCCTGCTCAACTCCTCTTTGGGCACGTTCATACGTGCCATACCCATCCTACCAGCACGGATGACCTCCAGGTCAGCAGGAAGAACACCAGCCAGCACCGGCAAGGCCGCCGTGCTAGTGGATCGGTACGCCTTGGTCAACAATATAAGGGCGGTTCGCTGCGATCTGAGTAGTGCACTGCGAACTGCGTACATGTTCGCACGCTCGTACCAGCACTCTGCCGCGTACGTAAGCGTGGATACATACACTCCTCTATAGATTATTTTTAGGCTCGGATATCGGACGCCCCATGATAACGTCGATACGCGAGACATTTTACCGAATCCCTTGGTCGCTCTTTCAGAAATATCGGACGCGTGTTGCACAAACGATAGTCCCGAATCCAAAACCACGCCTAGTACCTTAGTATTGGTCACATTCTTGATGGATTCTCCACCAAGTTTAATAACGGGGGGGCGCTGAAGTTTCCCTCTAACAGTCATTGTGGTCGACTTTGATGAGGAGAACTCCAGTTGATTCCTTAGCCCCCACTCCCGTACAAGGTCCAAAGTGACTCGGGCCCTGGATTCGATGCCCGCTCTGGTTTGTGATTCAATGAGAATAGTGACATCATCAGCATAGGCGGTCATTGCTACTCCCTCAGGCAGAGGGAGTCGGAGTAGGTCGTCCATCAATACGTTCCACAGTGTAGGGCCCAGCACGGAGCCTTGAGGACATCCCATGGTTGACGTCTTCCACTCTACCCGGTCACCGATGAAAAGGCCGACACGTCTGGAGGTGAAGTAATCCACCAGCATTTTGTAAATGTTGGGTGGACAACCACCTCGTTTCGCCTTAACCATCATCATCGGCCACCAGGCGTTGTCAAAGGCGCCGGAGATATCAAGAAAGATTGCCTGCACGTAGCATGCCCGAGAATACTTTGCCGTGCTGAGCAAGACACGCAGCGCTGTTACCGTAGATCGCCCCGGTGAAAATCCATGCTGGTATTCCGATATCCCACGACTAATCGCAGGAGCACATCTCAGCATTACGCGTTCTAGCAATTTTCCCAAAACAGGGAGGAGCGTAATTGGACGGTATGCCTTGGCGTCGGTGAGCGGCTTGTCATTACCCTTGGGAATGACAATCAGTCTTCCGTCCTTCCATACCTTGGGAAAAACTCCCTCTACTACACACTTAGCATACACCAAGTGAAGTTCCCTTGGTGCTGCCATCCATATATTCCTCACGATTCTCGCACTTACCCCATCGAGTCCCGGAGCTGTGTTAGGCAAGGCCTTGACTATACCTCCCAGTTCCCCAACGGTGAGTGGAGGCGCAGCCCAACCAGACGGCACAAATGCCGCCAGCAAACGGACTTGCCGGTGATAAGCCGTGTCGCAATCAGGGCTGTCATCCGGACAGAGCGTAGACATTAAATTTTGCATCGCCGCTTCCAGTCGGTCCGGGTGCCCACCCGCAAAGGCGATCCCGTTAATTACATTAGCAGGCGGACGCACACTCCCACTGGCTAACCTGTATCTACAGGCCCACGGGTCCTCATTACCAGTGTTGGCGACCCTTATGTGCTGCGACTGCTGCGCCTCCACCATCACCTTCCTGTATCTCGCACGTATATCATGAAAAGCCATTCTTGCTATCTCCTCAGACCTACCTCCCAAACGCCTTTTACTCTGCCACGCACGCCTTCGTTTACACTGCAACTTCCGAGTTTTCTCTAATTCAGATGTCCACCATTCATACCCCCCCGACCCCCTAGGGCGACGCTCCCCTAGGCCTTCCTCCGCACAGCGGATGACGACCCCTGAAAACTCCTCCGCCAGGAGGGCCGCGGGTTTTTCCACATGCAACCATCCCATTCGTAACTTGACAATCGTCCGGAACCTGCACCAGTCCACCCCCCGGTCACGAAAACGGGGGGGATCCCTAACAGGTGTATCGCGAGTGCTAGGCCTGCTGGTGGTGGCTCTGAATGTGATGAGGTTGTGGTCACTGGCGCAAATCCCCTCGTGCACTCGCCACTCAGGAACATAAACATCACCCGTGGTTAATGTGAGGTCTACATTAGACTCCCCTCCAGACCCTGAGTAGGTGTAAGGCTGGCCAGGCTGGTTCACCAATGTTAACGCCTGTGAAAATCTGAAGTCTTCCATCTGCTGCCTTCTGTGGGTGACATTTTGACCTCTTCCTGTATAGTGCCGTCTGTCACAATGCCAAAGTGGCGAGTGCGCGTTGGCGTCGAGGCCTACGATGACCCTTCTGCCCTTTAGGCAACTCAGGGCGCCCTCTAAGTGGTGCAGGTGGTCATCGATGTGGTCACTAAACTTAAAATACGCTGACACCACATAGAGGTCCCATCGATTGACGTGGCACACCACACAAAATTTATTACTCAGATGATTTAGCACGGCTACACCAATTGTCGGGTCAGCCAGATAGATGCCCGCCCACGGGTGACCACCCACCTGGACGATCCCTGCAGCCTGGGAGTACTGTTCTTGTATAAGAACAATGTCCAGGTGCAGTTCACGCGCCAGGATAGGCAACTCAGCCGAGGCGAGCTCACCTCGACCCAGGTTAATTTGTCCGATTTGAAGTTTCTCTCCCAATATTCTTGTAGGAGCGCCCTTACCGGCAGTATTGGGTGGTGGCCACGGAGCGTTGCTCTGCGTATAGGCGTGCTGGACAGTTCCGCGCCATTGTCACGTGCGAGCCAGAGTCAGCTCGGCCAAATCGCTTGCACGTGGCGCACTTCTCCTCCGTTGACTTGCAGTCACCTCGTTCGTGGCCTGCCTCTCCACACTTTCCGCATGTCGCCTCCTTTGACCGGCAGTATTTTGCTGGATGCCCATACTGCTGGCATCTCTGGCAGCATGTGACATCCACGTAGTCACATGGCTCAACCACGTCCCAGCCAACGTACAGTCGATTATGTCCGACCAGTGCATCCCTTAGGGCAGCCGAACACTGCAGGATGACAGTAGTCCGCCTGCTTCCTCTTCAGGAATTCTTAAAGGCAATCCTACAGTTCTCCTTGACCTTTTCCTCACTCCATCCGCAAGCAGCAAGATTTTGTTCGTAAAGACCGCTTATTACCTCTTCGTTTTTTGGGTCTTCTTCAAATACCCTCAGAGCAACCAGGGGCAGGCGCTGCTTAGGCTCGGACACCCTCAATGATGGAGGGGCTGAAGTCTTCAATTTTTCAGCTGCTTCCTGGGACGTGGTTTGGACTTAGGATTGATTGTCTTCTTGAGTTCTACCTTTGTGTCTTCAGCGGTCTTAATCGGTCCCTCTGCCTCTGCTGGATAAAAGGCCACGACTGGGCCCTTGCTTACTGGCATCATAACTTTATCTAGTCCTTTAGGTAATCTCAGTGCCGACGAGTATGACCGTTGTGGTGCCGGGTCCGTCACGTGACATTGAACTGCTCCAGCCTCGACCTGCGCCAGTTTAGCTTCCGCTGCGATCTTTCCTTGCTCAGCTCTGAGCGCTGCCAGCTCCAGTTCGGAGGTGTGTATCTTCATGGTCGCCACCATGGCTATGAGGTCATGGCCGTATGCAGCTACCTTGTTAATTTCAGTCTTGTTCAGCTTTGATCCTGGCCCGGTGATGATGCCCATTATACTCTTCACTGTATCACGGACATGGTCAATCACTTCCAATTTGGTCGCAGCGGTAGCCTTGAAGCTCCTCCTCACACCCTGGGAAGCCTCCCTTACGCATTCCTCCTCTTCCGTCATTGCAGCAGACTCCTCAATTTCCCTGGTCGACGGACCTGCCACCGAGGCCACACTCCGGCGAGGCTCCGTGCGCTTGCCCACCCTAGCCCGCTGGGAGGAAGGCTGAACCTCTTCCGGTGACGGAAGAGGCCGCTTCTCTGGCACTACTGGTGGTGGGGGGGGGCACCGCGACTGGCCGGCCGAGCGGGGTCGGCGGGGTCTTGGCCAATGATTTACGAGGAGTAAATAACTCCTCGTCATCCGCCATTTTACCACACAATATATATAAAAGTCAGACAATGCAGATTAAAAGTCAAATACAAAAAACGGAACGTAGATTGTCAACGTCAAACAATGTGACAGATGACAACTGTCAACTTCAAAGTCAATGTCAACGTCAGTGTCACATTCACTGACAGCTGTCATTTTCAATAATGACAAACAATGGCCACGTGCCAGCGAGGAGGCCACCGCCCCGTCGCCCCTTCACACCCCGGTGCGCCCCGCGCACCCCGCACACCGGCAGCGGATCACGCGATGTCGCCGACCAATCAGCGCGCGGCATCGCCTTACGACGCTACTCACGAACCAAGACGCTCTCTTGAGGCATATAAGAAGGGCGTTTTGGTCTGTGAGTCGTTCATTTCGGAAGCGGCACTCGAAGAGAAGAAACAGCAAGAGAAATCAAGAAGAATCAAGACTCCATAGAAATTAAGAAGACTCCCCTCTGTATATAGTGTAGTTAATAGTGCCACATTGTAAATAGTTTGAATACAGTATAGTTCGACAGTACCATCTTTTCTTTAAGCAGTTCCCTAGCATAGTCAGTAATACAGTCCACTGCGTTCCACAACAAGTTCTTGGTCCATCGTCGCCGGATTCAAGCCAGAAGAGAGAAGAAAGAACATAATTATAGAAGAAAGAACATAATTTTAGAAGAAAGAACATAATTATAGAAGAAAGAACATAATTATAGAAGAAAGAACATATTTATAGAAGAAAGAACATAATTATAGAAGAGAGAACATAATTACAGAAGAAAGAAGATCATTACAGAAGATCTTCGAGGAAGAAAGAAGTACGTCGACGAAGAGAGAAGATCGTCGGTGCTAACTCCTTCCTCGTTTCTTGCTTACATCTACGTCATATATATTGTCTGTTTCCAGACAATTCTTGTTTCTTAAACCGCGTTTACGCGGCCGGGTGGTTGCTCCCTAACGGTACCAAACTGTGACCATCTGGTAACGCCCTTGAGGCGGGAACGGCGTCCAATACGTGCGTCTTTTTGAAGACGATCGGAGGTCGCAACGAGGGACACCATCATGCGAAAGACAAGAAGCCAGAAGACACGGAACGACGACGAAACGCCAGTAGGAATGCGGATATTCGAGGAAGCACCCGCGTCCCCGTCCGATTATCTCGCGTTGGCACAAGCGCCCTCCGCCGCGCCGCAGCCCCCGCTCGCGCCCGCATCTATGCCCGTGCCCGCGCCCGCGCCGCCGCGCCCCGCTATGTCCGTGTCTACAACCGATCGCTTGGGAGAAGTTAGCACATCCGCGCCGCGCACAGAAACGCTCGCCGCGATAATAGAAGATCTTCCGACTACAGAAACTAGTTCGATAGTGCGTACCGTCGCGCCTGTAGCAGACGTTGTACATAGGCCCGCGTCCCGCGCCCCGTCGGTCCGTTCAGTCCGTTCAGCCCGGTCGACAGTTAGCGCAGTAGCAAGATTAAAACAAATCGAATATAATGCCGCGGAGGAACTAGCTGCAATTAGGAGGAAGCAATTGCAAATCGAGGAAGATCTCATCAAGAAGAAGTATGCTAGGGATCTCGCTCAACTGCAAGAAGAAACAGATAGGGAAAGTCTAAACGAGGACGAATTAGTTGAAAATAGGGTACGCGTTGATAGGTGGTTAGAAAACGTAGAGACTGTGCGGGGGGAGCCACCCTACCGCTCGTCTCAGCCCGCGCCCCGCATCGAGATAGAGCAGGCCCCGCCGAGTAGGGGAACCGGTTACGACCCCGCTGAAGATGCCCAGGGGAGGTTGGTTGCGAATGACGTTCAACCGCGCCGCGTAAATACGATACAGAGTGACAATGGAGTCGCCGTAGAAATGAACCAGGTGGATCGTCGTGTACGGGTTACGTCGCCGTCGCGCGTCCAACACCGCACTCTATCGCCACATCGCCACGCGGATCGTAGATTACCGTCGCCGTGTCATAAGGATGTAGGTGCACGTAGATCGCCATCGCCACATCACCACGCGGATCGTAGATCACCGTCACCGTGTAATGATGTAGGCAGAGATAAATCGCCACATCGCCTTGCGGATCGTAGATTACCGTCGCCGTGTCATAGGGATGTAGGTGTACATAGGTCGCCAGCGCCACAGCGTAGGCTAGAAGGAAATAGGGATAGAGATAGGTCGCTCACCCCGCGAGGGAAGGATAGGGGTATAGAACGGCTAGCGGAAGCTTTAGAAAGCATGGTTAGGGTTAGACCAGCCGCCGCGAAACAGACGCAGGACTTGCCTATTTTTAACGGCTCGGCCGCGGAATGGTTAGCGTTTAAAGCCGCGATGAATGAATCCACGCGTTTATATGGATTCACAAATACGGAAAATATGGCAAGATTAAGGAACTGTTTACGCGGTGAGGCTAGAGAGGTAGTATCGGTTCTGCTGTTTACCGCGAAGGATCCGGCAGACATTATGCGAACACTGGAGCAGTGTTTCGGCCGCCCGGAAGTAATTATAGATCGTGCGTTAGAAGAATTAAAACGCCTTCCGCGCCCGGGTCATACCGCCCAGGAATTAAACTCGTTCGCGATTAAATTACAAAATATAGTGTGCATTATGCAGAACGTCGACGGCAAGGGTTATTTGCGTAATCCAATGCTGACTAGGGAGGCTACTAGCAAACTTAGCCCTCACTTACGGTCGCATTGGTGCGATTATGCGGAGCACTACGGAAGTGCGGACGAACCGGATATCGTTACGTTATCCCGGTTCACGATGAGAGAGGCTGACAGTGCGTTAAGTCATGCCTATACGTCCGTAACGTCGACTAAGGAATCACCCGTAAGACGAGAGGCGCCGCCGTCGAAAAGAATAGTGTTGACACGCCGCGTAGAAGAT